TGGGATTATATAAAGGGTGAACTTACGAGGTTAATTTTAATCTTTCATCTGAAGTTTATTTCGTAGAAATAGAAAAGAAATAATTCCTGAATTTAACCGTGTTAAGAGCTTAGTTTTTCCTGATACCGCACTGTTATAAATTAACTTAGTCAAATTTTCATGCAGATCTTTTGAAGGGGATATTCACTTGATAACGATGAATTACGATATACGGAAAAACAGAAGAAAATAAGTGCATTTTTGAGGATACCAATTGAATTAGAGAAATTTTTATTTTATGGTACATTGCAATGTTTGGAGGCTTTTTGTCATTTATCTACATTTCTACCAATTCGGTTATTGGTAAGACTTTTTTCGGACGATTTCTAAAACGCAGTATTATTTTTACATCTTATTGTGATCGATTTAGCAGTAAATGTGTTTAGATAATTGGATAAAATGGAAAGTGTTACATATTGCTTGAAAGATTTATAGGTGGGGATTAATACTTCACTGTGTTGGAAAAAAAGAGATTGGAATTGAAGCTGAGTTTCTAGGATGTCTGAAGTATGAAATAGATGGTTAATTCAAAATTAATCATTTTCAATTACAGACATCTGTCGTCGGTTTGTTATTATGCTCAAGGAAATGGACCGCATCTAATACTTGTGATTTTTTGAAAGCTTTCATTGTGACAGTTTGTTCATGTCTCATGACTTTGATTGACACATCAGTAATGTATCACCAGGTTTTTTTATATTTTCCTTTTGTAAATTCCTCAACAAAATTTTAATTGTTTGGAAGCTGTATCTTCAGATTTTATCGAAATTGTACATTCTGTACTTTTTTCATCCCTTTTTAATTTATTAAATCTGATTACATTAAAAAAAACAATAGTTTGTTATCTTCCTGTTAACTGCATCTCATTGATTTTTTCTTTTACATTGCTACACTGTCTTTGTTCTCATTTTATTTTTGAATTTAATAACTGATAAATCATTTTAGAAAGTATCGTCAGCTGGTTCTCTTCCAAAACTTAATTTCAGGTTCGGGGACAAGGTGTAATTAAACTTTATATTTTTTACAATATGCTTGAAGTAGCCGACAAGTTATTTAGTAGTTTCGGTCAGGTATGTGTTTTCTTTCCCTTTTCGTTCACTTGGCATTTTATTGAGAGTGCTGAACACTTTTAACTTGATTTAAAGTTATAAATTGTAGGATATTTTTGACGCCTTATTTTGGTCAAGTACACATTCGTCATCAAGTTATGTGCGAATGTTTGTGCACCTATTTATTGCAATCATTTATACTTGGTTACATACAATACTTGTCTTATTACAGGTACATTTATTATGAAAAACATTTGTTAGATTAGTAGAAAAAAAAAAGTTCTATGGTATTATTTTAAGTTGCTTTAACTGTAAGCTATAGGCTTCTTCATAATGCCATTCATACAAAATATGACTTTAGCAAAATTTCAGGCCACAACTTTGAATGTTGCTTTTAATTCACATACGCAGGCACTGCTTGCTATAATGATGTCCAATAATTTTGTTGAACTGAAAGGTTCAGTTTTTAAAAAGTTCGCTAAGGCAAATCTTTTCCAGATGTCTTGCAGGTATTATAGAACTTCTGCATCTTACTCTCAGATTTTTTGGTTTCCATATTTTACACTTGATATGTTTCGATAAAGCTAAAAATATTACTTTTTTTATTGATGGAAATGTGAAAGTGTTTGGTGAGGGAGATATTTTTCATAGTTTAAGATTTTAAAAAAACAAAATTTCCAGTGATGTTCGTGAGCGCTTTCATATCTTTACTTTATTAGCAGTTGTGGTTGTACGAAATATGATGGCCGTGAATTGGAAATTCGAGCATTTCATGGAAATGTTGCCAGATCTTGTTTGTTCGCTTTTTATTTTATATCACATTAAAAACCATGAATTTTGTATTCTGGCTTTGAAATGTTATTTTTATATTGCATCATATGGAAGTTGTATACTTCAGCTTTTTTAGGCTTTGGTGACGATTGCTGAAATAATTGTTGACTGGTTAAAACACGCCTTCATCACTAAGTTTAATGAAATACCAGCGGAGGTATATCAAGGTATAATTATTATTTTTCAGGTTAACTAAATTCTTCGTTCCATACTTCAATTATTTGAGGAGTTAGGTCGTTGTTTACCCATTTTTGCTTAAACTATTAAGTAGTAGTTAAAATACAAAGGAAAAAAAAAACTGGACTTCGTGAATTCAGGATTGTATTTTTGAAGTTTGTGAAAAAGAAAAAACGTTGATGAATGTTCTTTTCAGACTTTACGATAACAATTGCTTTTGATGTTGTTCGGAGCCGCGACGAGAAAGCCTTTTCAGATTATTCAGACCAAGTATCAAGACGAATGGGTTTTATACCTATTCCATTAACAATTATGCTGATACGCGTTATTACTCAAACATTTGATTTCACTATTACATCCGTGCAGTTTGTGTTTTGTAAGTTACTTGTGATTGCAAGCTTTAGTATAGATCTGTCTTATTTTAATTTCATTAATATTTTTGGATACATTTGAATTTGTTGAAAGTAATTTTATATCTTGATTCCATGTTGGGATCTCTTTTTAAATAAGTAGGTTGTCTCTTAACTCTTGATATCTTGACAAAAAAAAAAAATACCCTAAACTTATTTAGTCGCTCATTAGGCTAACTACAAACTTCTTGTTGTTAATTTGTTTTAAAAAATTAACCTTTCAATGTTAATCTCCTTGACATTCTCCAACCACATGTGTGGATTCAACTACATATGTGGACTCGTATACACACTTAAATGGTGTTTGGAGCAATTTCAGGTTTCACATGGATTTTGTTATTGTCACTGAAAATAGTAAATGGTATCGTTGTGCTTGGAAAAGCATGCAGACATGTGAAGCGTTACCGTGAACTTCAAGAAAAAGCAGAATGTGAAATTTTTCGAAAAAGGGTACTGATGAGGAAAAGCAAGAGTGCTCCGAACTCACCTCGGATAAGTTTGGTTGATTTTAGTGGTGAGTTATTTTGAATTTTGGCAATCCACAGATGATAGGACAATTCACTTCTTACTTTTCCTATTTAGGCCTTCAGAAGATGGTTTCATCTATTTTTAACAGAAATCTGAAAATTGGTGACAGTTTTTAAAATCAAAACCAAAAATTTTTGATTCTTTTATTACGAATTTCTTTGATTTTCTTTTTCTAATTGTATTGCAAATGAATTGCACTTATAATTATACTTTTTCAGATGTTCTTCATCAGACAGTATCAAATAAAGGTTTCACTGTGTCAGATTTAATGTCCCACTGGGATGAATTAAACCGCAGTCTGGAAACTACGCCTGTTCAAGAGCCACGAAGAACAAAGTCGTTGGCTATTTTCAAGTGATTAATTTTATTTAACACTAAAGGATAAAAGAACTTGATAACTCATATACTTTCTTATCTTAGGCTCTGTCCCCACATAATGAGGTAGCAAATTCTGTTCTCGACCTCATTATATGGATACACAATCATTAGGATTGCATCTGTCCCTCGCAATATTAGTCTTATTGATACGAACGGAACCGGTCAAAAATTATATGTTCTTTTTCCTGCCTCCTTTCATCTTTGTTGCTGTAAGGATCTCACTTTTTTCAATCCTGGTAGAAAAATATCATGATCACTTTTTCTTTTCCTTCTTTTGAAATAATATTACTTTTTCATGTTAATAATATTATTTTCCGATACGTTTAGAGACTTTCTTTAGTTATTTCAGATAATTTTTTTAATTTAACACTAGTGAAGAATTTGATGATTTACTTAAGTTCTTTTTCCACCTTAAAACTATTTGACTTGTGAAATTTCTTTCATCAAACAAAATTGAATATTTTTAGCGTCTTTCACCTTCAGTTTTATTTCGTCAACTTTTCCCAATTTAATTTATGAAACTCATCAAGAACAGTATTTTCCTGACGGAAAAAATAGAAGCAATAAAAACTTTCAGTTTGAAGCGGTAAATGAGATTTTCCATTTCAGAAATGGGAGCAATGTTCAAATAATTAAGGGATATTCTACTTTAATCTTTGTGTCACATTAATCTTGTTCCATCATCATCTTTTCTCTCTTCCCAGTTCTCATGATGTTTCGGAAGTGACGATGAACTGTAAAGTTGGCGTAATTTCTTGAATTCTCGAACTTCAAGCTGTTCGACTTTGTTTCATAAAAAAACTGGAAGCTTGAATGCTGGAGAGAGTACTGTAGTTAACGGGCAATCGAAAGTTTCTTTTATCAAAATTAATTAGCTTGTCCAACCAATAGATCTCTTTTTATAGATCTCGAAGGGACAATTCACTACCATCTCATACCACTAATACTGAAAAGGACGAGAAGGAAGATGCGTCAGAAATCGCAGACCAGTCAAAGAATACTCCAAGAAAACGTACTAGAACCACAGAATGTGAGAGTCTTTCTGATGTTCAAGCATATACAATGCTCGGTAATGCAACAGAACCTATGGAGGTACTTTGATGGTATCTTTTATCTTTTATGGAAATCTAATTTTTGAATGTGAAAAAAAAATTTTTACTTCTTCATTGCTCCTCAATATTTTGCTTTGAAAGCGGCGCACTTTTCTTAAACAATTTATATACTTCTAATGTGAGAAATTGAATATTACTGGAATTTATCTTGTTCTGCCTTTCAAAAATGTCACTTTCCGGTGCATGATGTTTTACAGCATCCGAATAATCACTGAGATACTCCAGCCAGTTAGTTCGAATTTTGTTAACTTTTTTAAACTTGTCCATGATAATTGTGACGCTTTTGATATTGAATATGCTTTTGTGTATCTCGTTCCATTTTCGGAAAATAAACAGTTCAGAAAAAACATAAGTCACTTGATTAAGACTATCAAATATGAATAATTTAAGCAGAATTGTTGGAATATTTCGAGATTTCGCATTATTAGGCTTTATTCAATGTGAAACAATATGTGTGATTAATTCTTGTTTGAAAATTAGAAGTCGATATCAAGGTTTTCAGTTTTTTCCAGTGGTGTCACTTCCTTTAGTGCTTTCTTATAAGCACTCATTTCAGTATTATGTGTTGGATGATAAGCCCAGCGAAGCTGAAATTATTTATTTTGGATCAGCTTAAAATTATTAACACGACTCCAGGTTCCAGAATTTATTTCTGGAATTATAAGGCCTTAAAGATGCCAAAATGTGTAGAAATTGTAAGAGTGCTGTGCAAATGCGTTAGCGTGATTTTAGTGCGCTCAAACGAAAATCTAAGTTAAGTAATGACGATAAATAGAAAAATATTTTTACTTTCAAAGATTTCCAAACTCCTATTTTGTGTCTCGTGAAGCTGCATTGTTTTCTGGTTGCCTTCGAGTCGCGTAAAAGGGCCGAAATATCCTTCAACCATTAATACTCGATGGACAAATCTTTTGGGTTGGTTTTATGACGTACTTTTTTATCAGTAAAGACTTCTCAATTCCTCCGTAGCAGGTATTTAAGTACCTGATAATATTTCTGATCAGTTTCCGGCCATTGGTCGAATCCCTCAGGCAATGTTTCCCTTTTTTTCTTACGCCGTTTGGAACCCGATGATTTTGTATGCGATCGCTTTGTCTAGTAACTCATGTTTGTGAAAAGTATGGTTATTTGTTTCGAAATATGTTTAAAATATTCAAATTCCTAATCTCTTTAATATTACCTGGCTTTTCATAGTATGAAATCGTACGTTTTAGAGCCTTTAATAATTGATTTTAAAACTCACACAAGCAAGAGGTATTATCAACATATTTAGTATACCGATTCGCTTTTCTTTTCTCCTATTGTGGAAGTGTGTGTTGGTGTCGGCGATGACTGCTCGACAGGTGTTGTACTTACAGTTTCAGCTACCTGAATCTGTCTTCTCTATTTTTAGTCAATTAGCGCGAATTTTGTTAGGTATAAATTATATTCTATTCATCACTGCTAATAGTACTGCAGATGTATTTGTGATATTTTACGCAGGATTGGAATTAAATAAATGAGAGGTCTTTGCGAGGAAATTTAGGACTCTAATCATCATGTAATTAATAGGGAACCTTGGCTGCCATTTTAGCGGTCAACCGAAAAATTTAATCGTGGTTATATAAAATGAATGGATATGCAATTTTAAATCTTAAAATATGCCTTCTGATGATATCTCTCATTTTTCGGTGACATGTACCTATTTAATTTCGTTTCGCACTTATGCAAAATATGATCAGCCGACATATAAGGAAGCACCTTCAGTTGGAAAGAAATCCATGTGAAGGCAGAGAAATGAAGGATATGATTTTTAAAAATCTGACATAAGTAAGTTGATACTTCTGAAGATAGAGCCAGGAAAGAAACGAAAAGCAGTAATGAGTAGCAAGAAATGAATTGGTGTGAAAGGGTTACTATAAGTTACTTCTTAAAGAATTTCAAATTCCTGTGAGTGCCGTTAGCATTCAACGAAGGAATAGCATTGAATTAACTTTGTTACCATAGCGATGGGAAATGAGCAGTTTTGATTCAGATTCAGTCTCTTAGAATTGTTTCAGGTCTCTATAATTTCATACAAAATTTCAAAATGGGACTTTATATTTTCGTTTTCTCATTGAACTTAGTATGTTGCTAAAATATTAAGACAAATTTTACCCCTAATGCTAATTTATTTTAATAGCTCTTCATCATGATTTTATTAGGAGCTGACTTCGGAAAACGTTGCAATGATTCCCATGGATCCAAAACCATCATCTGAAAATAGCACAAAAGCACTGAACATATCGGTACATTCTTTTCATTGTATAGAATTTCATTTCCGTTTAACTATTTATTGGTTTCAAAATTTGAGTGAGATACTCTCATTGATGTCTTACTTACCAATTAAAGTTTTATATTCCCAGCTTCACAAAATATTTACCGTTATTCAAGAAAAATATCGACATGACGATAGAAGAACCAAAAGTGGTTACAAATGAAGGCTTGAAATCATTCTGGCAAAATTTGAAAAATGAGATCAGAAAGGCTCATGAAGGTGACACAGCGCTTCCGGACCTCACAAAAGACCTTTATCGACGGGAGCAGCAGGTAAAATTCATTAATGGCACAAGTTATATTTGAATATTTTTTTTAAATTCACTCCTAACATGGCGATGACCTCTCATTGTGATTGACTCATTGCAAAAGTTGAAGTGATTAAGTCATTTTTGTATTCCCTAATTTTTGTCATTATTGCAAAGCTTTCGTTTTCTTCGTGAAAATGATTATAATAAATAAACACATTGTACAGAACTTCTCGGGTCCTTTTTCTTTCTGTAAAACTATAATTTCCTCATAAATGTTCTATATCAGAGCAATCTACTTATCTACTTCCCTATTTAGTAGATTGCATTATTTGTCATTCTTTAAACTGGACTTGAGAAAACCAGCTACACACTATAAATTTCTGTGTTATATTTGCATTGTTCATGTTGCACATACCTAACATTTTACTTGGAAATCTAGAGAAAACCATCAAGAAACGGTTCCAGTGCTATTCAAATGACGTTCTGTTCAAATTAATATCTTTTTTTTTAATTTTCAGTCATTACGTAACAAGCTGCACAAAATAATAAATGCACGCAACTGTAAGGTTGCAACGACGCAAACTCCTTTATCAGGTGATATGTTGTTGGCTAATTATCCGAATCTCAAATCATCACTAACTGAAGAACAAATCATAGATCTCCTGAACAGACAAGATTCTCAACTATCAATCGATCGTATTTCGGATTTAGTTAAACAGAAGTTGGCAATTCCGAAATCTGTTGAAGCAGACATGAAATTACTTCGGAAAAACATGAAGGATGAGAAACATGCAGCCGTAAGTCATAAAAATAATAATAATAATAATAATAATAAAACAATGCAAACCATAGTTCTATATTTTGAAGTTTTAAGATTCGGAAAGTGAAAGAAGCGCAACGTAGACATCTGGAGAAATTGAAACAAAATCATATGATACAAGTAGAAAGTATTAAGTCTCAAAATGATCGAAAAATAAGTGGATTGCAGAGTCATATAAGACGAATTGAGGTGAGTGATCTTATTTTTGTACTAACAATTTTGAATACTGAGAACGATAGTTTATTTTAAAACATGTCAAATCATTTAACTTATACTATTTTTAGAGACCATTTTAAATCCTAATCATTTTAGGAGGAAAAAAAAATAGTGGAAGGTAAATTAGACAGCTGTGAAAGAAAATTAAGGAGCATACAGGCAAGCATCATTAAGATTGAAGCGGAAAATCGTATGCTTTATGAAGAAAACCGAACATTCAAGCAGGATTTCGTGAAACGACACGATACGAATCAAAACCTTCATGTAACTGATGACCTTAACCTTCTTTTGATAACATTGTTAGATTGGATTTCTTCTACTATTTTTTTTCACAATATTGTTATTAACCGCAATCCGCACGTGAGAGTTAATCTAAATGAACGACGATTTCATACTTTTCAACATCATACTACTAAATTTTCTACTTCCAGAAGAGCGTATTACTTATCAGTAAGCTTAAGGATAAACTTAGAAAGTCCGCAGAAACACAAGAATTGATTCTGCAACAATTTCGCCTTTTAGAAATTGAACGTGATGAACTTGTCGAAGCGATTTATAATGGAATACGCGATGTGAGTCATCCACTAAAAATTTTCTGTTGAAGATTTTCTCAAGAAGCAAAGCAAATTCCCGAATTAGTGTTGTACTCAACATTAACAATTTAGGTGGAGGAAGTAAATCATATGGGTAACAGAATCCTGGCATATGAAATTACAAAAACAGAGGATCAAGTTGGAGAATAAAAGTACGCTTACTGGAAACTACGTTTTAAAAGAAAACTGAATATAAGTTCGTGCCATTAGGCGATAAGTAATGTGGTATACTTCTGCAAAATGTGGTATGTCACTGATCTTTTGGTTTTTTCACATATTTCCGCAACCCTACAGCTCTTTGTATCTATTTTCGCAATAAGGCCGAATACAACAAGAGCTATTGCATCCCTCGCAAATTTTCTCGCCCCGAAAAAAAAAAATGTATATTTATATATATATATAACGAAATCTAATTCCATTTCAGAGGCTGCATGTAACTTTGTTTGAACCACTTCCAAGCTAGTTTTTAATCAAGTTTCAAAAATCGTCTCAAACAATATTAAACAGTTAATGAATACAATAACTATTATCATTCCAGAGCAAAAAAGACAACACTTTTCTAAATATTACAATAGTAAATATTACTGCACAATGAAAATTTAAGAAACTATTAGATGGAACAAATGCCTTCACGACATAATATTTCAAAATGCTTTGTTAAATTCAATCTCTATTGCAGTGAAATTGATAAACGAAATGCCAGCTACCGTGATCACTGCTTCGTGAATGTTAGATTAAAATTAAGTTTGTAAATCCGAATCTCATTTTCAGACTGCTACATTCAACCAATTATAAGCATATCATTGTGAAAGAATTTAACATTTTTCACAAATACAATAAAACGAATGTTCATTAAGAGAATATGACAGTTGTGGAAAACGTAAAGTACTTCAATCTTATGTTGAATAGCGTAATATACGTTTAGGCACACTCATATATGCAAAAAATGCTTTGTGATTAACACGAGATCACTGCGAAATTAAAATATTAAACAACAGAAAATGTAGGATACAAAGTCAGAATATAAGCATAAAATACCAAGAAATTGAGCAATCGATTTAAAATCATGAGGCATATTTCCACATCTAATTGATAGTCAACAATTACAGTTCAGTTACAAACAAAGGTGACTAAAATCAAGCAATATTATTCACAAGAAATTAAAAAATATAGTAACTGTGATTTACAATCTAATATTTTCCCATTAAACGAGGATAAAAAGGTTCCGGCGCAGACAGTTCTATTGAAGCATATAATTAGCTGCAGAGGGTGTAACAACCCATCGTAACATTTCTTCATTTATAAAAACCACTTAAAATTTTTGGATCCAAGTTAACATCTCTTAAAAAACGCTCCGTCAAATAACCTTCAACATCGAAAGGTGCGAAATCTAAAATAAATTCTCATTTAACAAATAAAATTTGCCAGTCTTCAAAGAAAAAGTATAGTCTATAAGCCTTATTAGGAAATGGATGTGATCAATTGTAAAATGATCACTGAGAGTTTTAAGGGACTTTTCGACAACGACTAACATATGCAACTAATACTATGAGTTTCTTTTGTCACAAAGTAACAAATGACAATAACTGCGATGGCCACTCGCAAGGTCTACAGTAGCCATCATTCAAACTATTCATTTAACACCACTGAATATTTAAATAATGAATGTGTCAAGTAACCTAGGTCAGATATTTAAAGAAATAGCACTAATACAGATAACTAATTTTAAAGAATATGCCGACCGCACAACCACTTCTGAAAACCAATCAGAAAAATGACCTTCTGGTAGCTGTCCCTTTGGTCGATAATGCTGGATAGTTTTATCAGGATGACCATCCGGAGTACGAAGAAATTCTTCAGTTGCTGAAAAGCAATAATCATATTAAGAATGAGAACTTTTCATGTATGTATCATACATGAAAAGTTTTCATGAAAAGCTTTTAATACAACGGCTAGTAAGAAAGAATGATTAATTCAGTTTTTCCCTCTGACACTAACCTTTCGTTAAAACCGATACAGTTTCCATATTTATACATTTCGTAGCATCTGATGACATACGAGTATGAATCCGTTTAGACAGTGCAGGGATTTGCGTATTCCTGAAAGATCAATTTCTTGAGATAATTTGAAGGCATGTAGTGTAGAATATTGAAGCTCCACCTCGTCCTGGATGACGGTAGATCAAATTTCCAAACCATGGTACACAATATCGCTACCTCTATATAAAATGCTTGATTAGTCCTGATGAACAGATGAAAATAAATCGAGACAAACAACATGAGGACAAGTGTTTTAGAAATTTATTCTTCACCAATAAAATATAGTCATATTTATGAAATCGTAAAGTAAGGAAATATTTACATCAATAACATACATTTCATTTCTGCAAGGTT